TTTTACTACTTCTTACCCCCCCCCCCAATTTTCTCAACGAATTTGACGTTTCCCAAAATCGACCCCTGGGACACTCAAATCCGCCGATTTCCGCGGATCCGCGGAATAATCTCATCCCTGAGTCGGTATGTATGCGTGTGTGTGCGTGTGTGTGCGTGTTCGTGTGCGTGTGCGTGTATGTGTGTGCGCGCCCGTGTGTCTGTAAATGTGGTATGTGTGTGCGTGGGTGCGCGTGTGATTGTGCGTGCGCATGGCCGTATGTGTGTGAATGCGGTGGGTGCGGTGCGGGTTGTTGAACTTTTAAGATCGCCAAATCCACATGCGCACACACGCACACCACTGATCTATTATACTAACTATATATAATGTAATATAATATATAATAAATATTATATATAATATAATAATTATATTATATTAAGTTAGTATAATAGAGATGAGTGACGCACACCCATTGTGTGTGTGTGTGTGTGTGTGTGTGTGTGTGTGTGTGTGTGTGTGTGTGTGTGTGTGTGTGTGTGTGTGTGTGTGTGTAGTATGTGTGTGTGTGTGTGTGTGTGTGTGTGTGTGTGTGTGTGTGTGTCTGCGCGCGTGTGTGTGTGTCTGAGCGCGCGTTTGTGCGTGCGTGCGTGCGTATGTGTGCGTATGTGCGCGCGCGTGTGTGCGTGCGTATGCGTGAGTTTGTGTGCGGGCGCGTGTACATGTGCATGGGTGTGTGCGCACGCGCGCGCGCGTGTGTGAGTATGTGTGTGTGTGCGCGCGCGCGCGCGTGTGTGTACACATACATACACATATACATGAATTACTCGAGTAGTCCAGCTTCATTGCCGCGCAGTCACACTAATGTTTCCAGTATGTAACCGAGCTCTTCGCTACTGTGTAGCGAGCTCAAGCCCGTGTCGTCCGAGTTGCTGTCGTTGTCGTAGAACTTGCCGTGACCGTAGCCGCACGGCGAACCGTCGCTTCTCAGCTCGATGTCGTCGGCGAACGACACTCGCTTCTCGATCGCCGACACGTCGAAGATTGTCTCGTACGTCGCCGGACTCGGCGGCCGAGGCGCGACACGCGACCGCGGCGGCGCTGCCGGCTTCACAGAGCGGTCGGCTTCCTTCTGGGACCAGCCGCCGGTGCCCTTCCCGCCGTCCCTCTCGCTCTCCTTCTTCTCTCTGGGTGGTACCGCCGTCGCCATTGTTTTTTTTATAGGTAACGCGGGATCGGCGCGAACCTCGGCTGTTCGTCTGCCGATTAAAGATGGCGGCGGCGGCGGCGGAGGCGGCGGTCTGGTGACGTCATCGTCGCTCGTCAAGTCGACGCCGTCGTGGTATTTCGACACGCGGTAGACGCCGCACTGCGAGTCGCTGTCGTGATAGCTCGACTCGCTCTCGTACAGCGACTCGTCGCCGGCGTCATCGCCAACGTCATCGCCAACGTCAACGTCATCGCCAACGTCATCGCCAGCGCCGTTGCGCGCTCGCCGGCGACCGGACGCGGCGACGTCGCCGCCGCCGCCGACGACGCCGCTGCCGCTGCTGCCATCGTCATTGTCTAGCATCGACAGCTGCTGCATCATGTAGTCGAAGAACTGTTTCTTGCGCTCCAGCTCGAACTCGTGCTGTTCGCACTGTCGCTGCAGCTCGTCGCCGTGCGTCTCCTGCGCGAGCCGCGAGGCGACGTTCTGCTCTATGCGCCAGCGGATCGCCGCCAGCTCGGCGTTCAGCAGACTCTCCGTGCTGCGAGCGTCGGCGTCGTCGCGCAGCGTTTCGTCGAGGATCTGCGCCGACAGATCGTGAACGGACTCCTCGCAGCGCACGATGCGTCGATTCACGTCGAGCACGCTCTCGCAGACGCGCGTGTAGTCGCGCAGCTCGTTCGCCGACAGGTTCCCGAGGCTGACGACGTCGGTATCGGACGACGACGACGCCTCCTGGTAGTCGCTCATGTAGGCGTCCTGCACGTAGTTCTGGCCGTCCTGCTGGATGCGGCTGTTGTGCGTGCGCGTCTCGTACAGCTCGATCTGTACGTCTATCTGACGCAGTCGCTCCTGCTGATCGCGCAGCTTCTGGTCCTGAGAGATGATCAATTGCACGAAGTTCTCGAGTCGTCGGCCGTCGGGCGACTTCGTCGTCGTCGTCGTCGGCGGCGGATGGCGATATGCCGGCGGTACGTCTGCGTCACGACGTACCGCGTGCTGACGTCGCTCGGCGCGTCGGCCGCCGTCGACGTTCAGCGTCGTTCTGGCGTCGTCGCGGACGTGCCGCTGGTCGGCGGACGACGCCGGTTTCGAGTGTCGGCCACGCTTATGTCGATCGGCGACGTCGGCCGCGGTGTTGCGATGCGAGTTCGCCTCTGCAGTAGCGATGCAGTCGCTTATAATCTTGTCCTTCGAGTGTTCGCGTTTCTTATTCGCGTACGCTGCCGCCGCGTGTTTCGCCGACGACGTCTCCTTCGTCGGCGCCGACGAGACGGTGGCGGCGCCACTGTCGCCGCTCGACTTCTTGTCGCGCGCGTCGCGCTTCGACTTCTTGAACTTCATCTTAGACTTGGAAGACCGCGACGTGTACGTGGTAGAGCTGACGCGCTTCAGAACGAACTTGACGTTTCTCTGCTCGGCGCTCCACGCGTTCCATACCTTCGCAAGCTTGCTGCGGCCCGGCAGATGCTTCTCGACGTCTCTCCACTGCTCGAATAGGCCGTACGTGCACGGGTTGACGTCGGGCGGCGCGCCGTCGCGTTTCAGCAGCGCGTAGATGATTTCGTCGCAGGTGGTGCTGCGCGTAACACCTGTCAACCGTTTCTCACTGCCGCCGAGCCAGACCGTGATCCCGGCGAGCGAGCTCATCTAAAACGGTGATCTGCGGAGAGAACGGAAGAGCGGGCTGATTATCTCGTAGCGCTAGCTCGGCAGTCGGTGGAGAGAGAGATGAAGGGAGGGGGGGGGGTTAGAAAAAAAGACAGAGAAAGAGAGAGATGACGGGTAAAAAAGAAGAGAGAAAAAAGATGAAAGGAGAGAGAGACGGGAAGGAATAAGAATGAGAAAAAGGGAGACAGGTAAAGAGAGAGAGAGAGAGAGAGAGAGAGAGAGAGAGAGAGAGAGAGAGAGAGAGAGAGAGAGAGAGAGAGACCGGCCGAGGGTCGGTGGCCGTAACAATAATGGCAACGCGTGCCACGATAAAGATACAGTGAGAGCTGTAGCTGTAGCGTGCGGTAGGTGGCGACCCGTTAACCTTGAGCATGTCGGCAGTGGAGGCGTGCGCATGCCGCCACCGATGACACAGAGCGTACATCTCGTCAGAAATTACAAGGAATTAACGTCGATCTGACATCTTGATTTCATGAATGGAGAGTTCTATCCTGGGTAGTCAAACACGCCGAGCTCACGCGCCAGTACTGTGTGACTATACGGCAAGATAACGTATATATGAGAAGGAGTTAGAAACGCGCCGAGAACATGCCCTTAGCTTCCATGGCATTTTCATGCAACATGGCACACTATGTGCCATGTTTCATTATATGCCATGCCATTTGTGATGCCATTGTGCCATTTGTGATGCATTTGATGCATGATACATGTGCCGTGATGCCATTTGTGATGCCATTTTGTGATGTCATTTTTGCCATGCCATTTCATTATGTGCCATGCCATGTGCCATGTTTCACTATGTGCACACTATTCATGGCACACTATGCAAATATCGCGCCGAAAGAGATGTTTATCCGATCTGTGCGTGGCTAACTGTAATATCTTTAATTATCGTCTCGGGCCAATAAGAGTTATTTTTTTTCTTTGGCGGAGAATTCGTTACGTATTTTATTATACATGATCGCATCACGACTATGAATATAATTATCATTTCTCAGATACAGTGGAAATTACTATCTCCGTTAGTACAAACAATTGACAAGCCGTAAACCAAGACTAATTTGATAATTAAATAGATCGAGATGGAAGGCGAGCTCATTTAGAATCAATTAATGCCGAGCCCATCGTTAATATGCTATCGATGATTAATGCTCCAGCGGAAGATTGTTAATCACACATATAAAACTGTTGAATAACTGCCCCAGCACCCGCATAATACCACAAACTTTATGATAAAAATTAACTGATTGCTATACGGCGGACAATAAAATGTGTAAGTCGCCCAAATTGGTATTTACGAATAAAATCGCTTCATGAAAATTTGAAACTATAGAACTATAGTGATTTTTATAACTTTATGGTTTATTTTTTAATAGTCAAGTGACTGGATCGTAATCGCGGCTTTGTTTCGATACATATCATTTATTATGATACTATTGTACTATTAATTATTATTCTCCAGTTACGCAAGTTTTGAACAAACTACTTCCTACTAAGATTACTTGGAAGATATCGCTATACCTGATGTTTCCGGCTATGCTCCCCCTACCTATTTTAGACGCTTTATGAGTCACCGACCATCGAATATAATTTTAATATATTCAGACAACATGGAAATCGACATCAAGGCAGGGCTAACACTCTCTTTCTGCTCTTTCTTCTCTCTTGCTCGCTCGCTCTCTCTCTCACTCGCCCACTCGCTCTATCGCTCTTTCTCTGTCTCTCTCTCTCTTTCTCCCTTTCGCAGGAGTAGCAAACATTCCTATTGCTTTTCAAATAGTAGCGGGAATTCATTCAGCGTCATCCGAAAGCGAGTCCCGATCCGATTCCGCAAATTTTCTCACTACCATGGCGAAATAGCGCAATCACATTACTCGTCGGTGAGTTATCACGTTGCTTCTCAATGAATGCTACGAAGCGCAATTCAGACGATTCAGACAAAGAAGCGATACAGGCGTCTATGCGTAACACCAAACATGTCAGGAAGCTGTTTGTGTTGGACGACCTTTCCAGCAGAATTGATTGTGAATACTTGCACGCGCGCCGTGGAGGAAAATCCGTGGTTAGTAACTTGTAAACGTTACGTCTGGAAGCTACACGGGCGACAAAACTGAATGTCGTGATAGATTGCAGCAGCTGCCATTAATCAGACAATACTCGAGTCGGCATCGTATAATCTCGTCTACGTAATCGGCAATTTTACATTTACATAAAATTTAATACAAAAAGAGTGTGCGCGCATATAATTCTAGCTATAATAACTTGGACACTATCAGCAGCTGGTGTTACCTGTTATTAATGTTAATGCGCAGGATGCACTGGCTGTGCACACGACATAAACGCAAACCAGGAATCTAATTAGTAATTAGTAATTAACGCTTATCTAAGTAGCGCGTCGACGACGAAAGGATGCCTGCCTGATATATACATGTATATATATATATATATATATATATATATATATATATATATATATATATATATATGTGTGTGTGTGTGTGTGTGTGTGTGTGTGCGTGTACGTGTGTGCGCGCGCGGGCGCGCTTGCGTATGTGTGTATGAATGGCACGGCATAGCGTTATCTGAAGTAGCAGTTCTGTTGTATCATCTCGTACTGCTCTGCTTATTATGTGGATAAAACTAGGAAAAAATCAGCTGGCGAACATCCTCCCTCGCTACGCCGAGACGGCAGCGCCAATGTCAATAATCGTCGCTGCCAAAGCCAACCAGCACCAACGTCAGTCATCGTCGCTGCCAAGGTCAACCAGCGTCAACGTCGATCATCGTCTCTGCCCTGGTAAACCAGTGTCAACGTCTACCAACGTCGCCGCCATGCACGCGCAGAAGTTTCCGTTAGATGGCGCTCTGAACGAGCAATGCGCAGATATGAAGAATGCTGTTAAGCTCGCGTACGATAACCAACGACTAACGTTTATGTGAATGACAAACTCCTGGCGCAATGCCAACACGCAATAAGAAACAAAAAACACTTTGACATTACGAGGAACGCTGCGTCCATTGTCCGGTGACGATAATATCAGATGCGGCGATTTTACACCCGCGGACATATAGATGCTCCGGATTACTCCATTCTTCAGCATCCCCCCATACACACACACATGCACGCGCGCGCACACACGCACACGCGCACGCACACGCACACGCACACGCACACACACACACACACGCACGCACGCACGCACGCACGCACGCGCGCACACACACACACACACATGCACACACACACATGATCACATGACCGTCAGCGGCATAGGCTTGGTACTGCCTCCGTGGCTGTTGTTGTTGTTGTTGTTGTTGTTGTTGTTGATGATGATGTTGTTGTTGTTGTTGTTATTGTTGTTGTTGCTGCTGCTGCTGCTGCAGCTATTGTCATGACTGCCGCTGCTGCTACTGCTGCTGCAGCTGCTACTACGGCTGCCGCTGCTGCGGCGGCGACCGCTGCTGCTGCTGCAGCTGCAGCTACTGTCATTATATATTATTGTACATATATATATTGTATATATTACTGTCATTATATTACTGTTGCTGCTTCTGCTGCCGCCGCCGCCGCCGCCGCTACTGCTGCTGCTGCTGTTGTTGTTGTTGTTATTGTTGTTGCCGCTTCTATTGCTGCTGCTACTATTGCTGCTGCGGCATGCAGATGTGCTCGCACGACACGTCCACCAACTCATGATTGTAGAAATATATGCGGGAAGATATATATATATATATATATATATATATATATATATACGCGCTCGACCACACACAGATGCGCATCTTCAACGCATGTGGTCGCTACTGCTAGATCATACGCCGGAGACAGATTGAAGAGGGAGATATGATTAAAAAGCCTGCCGCACCTGTTCTTATAGACATTGCTATGCCGAGTGACCATTGTGCAGACATCACGACGTTTTTGCGACTTTTCATCCACCAGCTGCGCCACCACCGTCATTGTCAATGCTTTGTTTTTCTCACAACTCCGAAGTAATTTATTTGACTGTTCCTTTCTGTATTTGTCACGAATTCGGTTGCACTCGGTTTTGTGTCGTATAGCTGTGGTTATTGGTCCCATGGTTGGTGCCGCCCAGGTATTCTTCGGTGCACGATAAAATCCAATCGAGATGAGTGTATTTTTTGTATCCAAACCCACACACGGTGTATTGCATTCATCCAACTATTTAAGCGTATTAACTTCGCGATTACGTATTACTGCATATTTTAATAAATTTCAGGTAAAATAACCGGACATTGCAAACCAAATTACGGAAGTTTTTTTTATGCGATTCATGAGCATTTCCATATAGAGTTACTCGTTTTTACGCTCGAAACATATGGCGTATTCTACACTCAATCTGCAGACATTTTTCTTATACACTTAGTTTCATTATGTTCCCTAATGCAAGTTCAGAACGATGACATTACAGTTAAAACATGTAAACCTTTCGGTGGCACGCTCCGTCTACTGGTGCGCTTGCAGCGCCGCCGTTGCGCATTCACATATAAGTGAATGAGTACAGAGCAAGTTTACACTTGTTTTCATTCAAGAAATGACACAAAAACAGTAACTGTCTGTCGATCATGCGCCTGATGCAACAGTCGGTTTTCGGAGCGTGGGATAAGATACGATACGTGTTACTTAACTTGCACTAAAAAGGCATTCAAGTCAATTTGCTATTGAATCAATAAAAATTTGAAATATTCACTACTAGTGACACGATGAGATTCTACATTAACGCTGACATGTACGAGTACATATACACACGCGATCGCCCACGCACACGCGCACACACGCGCTCGCCCACGCACACGCGCACACACGCGATCGCCCACGCACACGCGCACACACGCACTCGCCCACGCACACGCGCACACACGCGATCGCCCACGCACACGCGCACA